TTCTCCATCCTGCCCTGCAGGTTCCCTCTGTTCCCCGTCAATCCAGATCTGAATATTCAGCTTTGAAGCCATTTCCTCTGTCACCTCTTTTCCATCAACAGAAAATTAACACCATAGGGCTGAAAACAGACCACTGACACTTGCAGGATTGCCAGAGACATGTGTGAAAATACCACAGATGTGTGAACCAGCTCTGTGTCATTGTTGGGAAACCCTAAGCCCATGGACCGGGGCAGGACAGCACAGATGGAATGCAAGGGCTGGTTCATGTTTCCACTGTCATCATTGCAAGACAGAGCCAGGCAAGTCGGTCAAGGTCACTGTAGGTGACTTAGAGTGAAAGCAAATACACCAGAGACATTGAGCACAAACTCTTGTGTGGGCACAAATTGCTTGTGCCACATCAGTTGCTTGGGAATCCTGCACCTGGAAACCATGGACTGTGATCCCTGAAAAACCTCTGTGATCCCACCTGCTTTCCTGACACTTTCATCACACAGACACCAGCTGCCAGTATTTATTACTGAGGAAGCTGAGGGTGATGTGGGGTGGGTTTTGAGCCTCCCATGACAAGGAAGAACCACTGTTCTACTGAATCACAGATTGCCAGGCCAGTTGGGTACCGTCTCCATCATCCATGGGCTTCCCTGAACTCTTCCTGGTGGAGAAACACCATCAGCCTGGACTTTACTGCCAGTGATATAAAATCTACACTTCATGTCCTGTCCAAATATCAGCACAGAGCTACAAAACAGTTTGGGTTGGAAGGGACCTCAAAGACCATGTTATTCCAATGGACAGGGACACCTTTCCACCACACCAGGTTGCTCCAAGCCCCATCCAACCTGGCCTGGAACACTTCCAGGGATGGGGCAGCCACAGCTTCTCTTGGCAACCTGTGCCAATGTCTCACCATAAATATGTTACACTGCTGCTTCCCCTTTTTATCCCATGGCAGCAGCATCTCCCAGCCTGCAGAGCCCTCAGCTGGCAAGTTTTATCTCCCCCCCCAGGTAAATGCTCCTAAACCAGGAGCATTTAGGATGCTCCTGAATGGAGTCACTTCAAGCTCCCCTGTGATGATCGACCCAGACCAGGCCTCTCATTGCAGCAGCACATTCCCCCCACTCCCAGCTGGCACACGTTTTTGGCAGGATTCTTGTCTGCCTTCCATGCCCTTCTGGCAGAGCTTAACCAGTGTGCTGCCCTCCCAGATCTCCTGGCAGGGAACACACAAAACAGACCCCAAATCCACGTGGAGCTGACTCAATCCCTTCGCTACAGCAGGCTGGACAGGCTGAAGCCCTCTCTCCAGCACGGCTGCACATCCCAGCTCCAATATCCCTCCTGCAGCTGCTGCTGCACAAGGCAAGGGAGAGCAGAACACCAGCGGGACACACAGGTTTCCTTCAGGTGATCCAGAACAATCCAAGGATCATTAAGGTTGTAAAAGCCCTCCATGATCATGAAATCCAGCTGTTCCCCCAGCACTGCCAAGGCCACCACTGACTCATCTCCCCAAGTGCCACATCCACATGGCTTTGAAATCCCTCCAGGGATGGGGACTCCAGCACTGCCCTAGGCAGCTGTGCCAGGGACGGACAACCCTTTCCATGAACAATTTTCCAAAATAGCCAAACTAAACCTCCTCTGTCCTAGTCCTTGTTCCCTGGTAGCAGAGCCTGACCCCCCCTGGCTCCACCCTCCTGTCAGGGAGTTGCAGAGCCAGAAGGTCCCCCCGAGCCTCCTTTTCTCCAGGCTGAGCACCCACAGCTCCCTCAGCAAAGCCACTCCTCAGAAAAGCTCCCTGAAAACATCTCTCTTCCAGCCTTCTGCTCTGCAGATCCATGGGGATCCCTCCATCCACACCTCACCACCCACTCAGCCTTTCCCAAGTGCATCCAGCTTGCTCCCAGCCAGCTGGTCGGGAGAAGGAAGCTGTCCCAACACCTCTACTGCCCACAAACCTCTGTTCTCCTGAAGAAATGAGTAGTGGGCTCTTTGGGGACAAAGCCAGCATCCTTGGCATCCCACTGAAGCACACCTGAAGGGCACCGACCCTGCGGTCACAACCCCTGGTGACATTGTCCCCCTGCAGCCACTTGGCTGCCTGGGAGAGACAGCTTTGTCCAGAAAGTTCGCAACTCATTGCAAGCCCAAACAGCCCCAAGTGCATCCCTGACAATTCCTCCCGTGGACTGCTGACAACTGCTGCAATATTGCTCCTGTCAAGCAGCATTTAAGTCCCCTTTTCTCCCTAGCTCAGCTTCTGTGTTAGTTCTGGGCAATCCTATCGCTGCCAAGCAAAGCCCTCCCTTCCTCTACTCCTAGAGATTGGATGAAATTCCTGACTGGGAAGGTGCTGAGGGGGGTGTGGGTGTTGATGTTCCTTCTGAAATGCATTTTAGCTTCAGCCGTGATCATTCTGAGTTGTTTTATTTTCCCCAGGTCTTAAGAGTCATATTCTGATCCCCTCCTAGAAAAGCCTTTGCAAACCAATCAATGCCCAGAGTTTTCAGCTCTGTTCATGTTTGGAAGTTGACTCTCAATGGACCACGTGAAACTGAATGAGCTGCAGGTTTGAGATGGGAAGTGAACTTCTAGATACTTGATGTTCTCAGGTCCTCCCAATTCAGTGACATTGGGAAGTTTGCAATTTCCTTCAGCTCCTTGTACTGAGGAATGGGAAGTCAGACTTTCCTGACTATAGGAGGATTAAATGCCAGATGCTTCTGGGCCTTCCCAGCCAAGCTGGTTTTGTGCTGCAGGTCAAACCTTCCATGAAGAAATTGTGCCAGGAAGGAGCCACAGCTTCTGCCTTGGCACGGATGCCAAGCCTTGCCCCCAATGGCTGCAGCTGCTTTCAGGAATGGATTCCTTCCAAGCTGGGGCAGGTTGGTCGGGCTGGGGGAGGCCCCAGGGAACATGGCAGTGTGTCACAGAGCCCTTTGTGACACGGTGGCCGTCGCCCCGGGAATGGGACGGTGTCCTTTGTGACCCGTGGTGATAAAGGTGTTGGTGGCAACGCGGCCACGCCACCGTGCTCGGAGCGGGCGACTGGGCCGGATGGGACAGAGCGGTGCTGTGAGGAGCCTCCTCGCAGCCAACTCCTCTCGTCGACCAGGAGCGTTTTCGAGAGTTCTCTTTTGATCATCTTC